GCCAGCTCATATGGTAGCACAAATTGTGCAATGAAGATCTCTGCGGGGGCGGCATTGACTTAGGGTAGGCTGTGAATAATCTCCTCTGGAGTTGTGCCAACAGCGGGCCTGGAGGCGACCAAGCTGATGCAGCTTGGGGGCCTTCCCATCTGCGGCTCAGAAACCCTCACTCCTGCCTCAGTCGTAAAATCCGTCCTTGTTTATCCGTTTTTCATCTTGGGCTTTCAGATAAGCTTTGAATTGAAGGAACATCCTATGGCTGAGTAGAAATTTGAAAATCACTGTGCTACATGCTCAGTAAAAGAGATTTTTGAAGCTAAAGTGATTTTTTTCCAGATTTCTAAAGATTTTCCTTGAATGTGCCACAATTAACTACCGGGGAAAAAAGAAGTTACCCCAAGTTAAGACATCTGTACACATTGCATTTTCTTCCAATCTTTTCTTTTTAAAAGCATATATTTGTTTGTGATTTTTTTGTTTTACAAGTTTATGATAATACTGAACACATAATATTTGGACTCATATTATGAGCAATTTTTGTGTTTTCACTAGTTGAAATCATAACTTTTAATGCCTGTATACAATAATACCAAATCAATTGTCGAATCATGATTTATTGAAACAGAGCTTCATTATTTGGCATGTAGCTTTGGCATGCTTTTTCTTTTTCTACCAAAAATAATTTATTGTGGTTAAATCTTCACTTGCATCCCTAATATTTCCTTTTGGTAAATTCCTGGGATTATATTGTCAAGGACAAATGGTATTACTGTCTTTGAATCTATCAGGTGGAGATAAGTATTAGGAAGAAAATTAAAGCAGGGTTAGGAGAGGGGATTACTTTGGGGTCTCTCCCTGATGCCCAGGCTGGAGTGCAATGGTGTCATTACAGCTCAGTGCAACCTCCAACTCCTGGGCTCAAGCTATCCTCCTGCCTCAGCCTCCCGAGTAGCTGGGATTACCGGTGTGCAGCACCGCGTGGCTCCAGTTTACTACTTTAGAAATGGTAGTTAGGCAAGTCCCCTCTGAGAAGATAACATGCAACCTGAGACTTGAGTGCAAAATAGAATTGAGGGATGGGGACACCTGTGGGAAAGTTCTTTAGGGCAGAGAAATTAGCAGGTGTGAAAGCCCTTAGGTTAGAACTTGCTTTGAACTTTCTAGGACAAGATGCAAGGAGTAGTCCATCCGAGCTGGAGCTGAATGAGCTGGGGGTCACTTGGAGGATGCGAGGTGGCAAACTGAAAGAGGGCTAAACCACAGAAGCACTTTTATAGCCTAGGGGAGGATTGGGGATTTTGGTCTAAGTAAGATTCAAGGCCGTTGAAGGATTTCAAGCCAGAAAATGACATGGTCTGATCTCTCCGTGAAGAGTCACTGGTAGAGGCCGGAGTGGAAGCAGCAGGTAGACCAGTGAGTTAAGAGGCTAAAACGAAAGTCCCAGAAAGGAGAAAAGGTAGAGCAGCGTCTTAGCCACTTTCCTGTTCTTACAACAAAGCACTTGAAACTGGGTAATTTATAAAGAAAGAAACTATCTCTTTGTAGTTCTCGAGACTAAGTCCAACGTGGAGAGGCCACATCTGGTGAGAGCCTTGTTGCTGATGGGGACTCTCGAAAGTCCCCAGGTGGTTCAGGATGTCACGTGTCGAGGGGTCTGAGTGTGCTAAAGTCCTCACTCAGGGCTCCTCTTCCTCTATAAAGCCACCTGTTCCCCTCCCACAATAACCCTTTAATCCATGAGGCTCTGCCCTCCTCATCCAGGCACCTGTTGAAGTTCCCCAACTCTGAGTGCTGCCACATTGGGGACGAAATTTCAACACGAGCTTTGCTATTCAAACAGTTGCAATATAGCAGGGAGTAACAGCTGAAATGTCTTGTGGTGTTTACTCAGCAACAGACTACTAAAATGAAAACTGTGTGTGTGTGTGTGAGAGAGAGAGAGACAGAGATTAATCCCATGTTCTTTTTTTGGTTAGTGGTATAGAATGTTCAGTTACTTAATTGTCACGTGTTTTGTTTTTTGTTATCTTTATGCCATATTTGCCGAGGTGAGTTTTTATCATTAACTTAGATGAGAGCTGAAGCTGTTTGCGTTAGTTTTACTCATAACCATGCCTATCATTAACCGTTTATCAGATGTGTGTCAAGTATTTTCTTAGTTTGTTGGTATTTTCTTAGTTTGCTGGCCTAGTTTGTTCTACGTATGACTTATTTTTCTGTAAGTTTTCAACTGGAATCCAAATCTCTGCTTGACAATCATGGCTTTAATTTCCTCCGGGCCGAGGTTCCTATAGGAAAGCATTCTCTAATTTCCAGGTGCTGGGACTCCTTTGGGGAGCATTCCCACAGAGCGCGCCATGGCTCTCCACTTGCTGCTTGATTTACGAGCCAGAGACAGACTTCCTTCCCTACTCCCTGACCGGCTGTTTGGGGAGAGGTATGGAAGGAGAGGGAAACATTGGACAAAAGCTTGCAAGATGCTACGAACAGCAAGACTATAGCATTGATCAGAAAACAGGTGATTTACACCTGAATTTCTGACCCAGGAGGAGAAGCAAAAGCTCCCAGCCCTGCTGTAAGCAGACCAGTTTGTTCTTTCCAGCAACACAGGAGTGATAACTATGTGGTTCCACCGAGTTCCCCGTAAGCATTTCATCTCAGATGCTGGTGACAGTGTTACTCACGACAGTCAATTCTTGGTAAAAATATGGATTTACTTGTGTATTTCTGTTTTACCCATTAAGAGGAGGCATCTTGGTTTTGTTCACCCAGCTTTCCCCAGCTCTCTGTGCAACCTCTGATACTCAATAAACACTTGGATATTTTTCAAATGAATAAATGGATGGCTCCGTGAAATAGGCAATGTTTTTTTAAATTTTTTATTCTTAATTATTATGAGTACATAATGGTTGTATATATCTATAGGATGCATGTGATGTTTTGATACAGGCACGCAATGTGTGTTACTCAAATCTGGGTAATTGGGGATCCATCACTTCAGGCTTTTATTATTTCTTTGTGTTAGGAACATTCCAATCCCACCCTCTTAGTTGTTTTAAAGTCTACCTTAACTTATTGCTGCCTATAGTCACTTTGTTGTGCCGTCAAATGTTGTTCTTTCTGTCTATCTAACTATACTTCTGTACCCATCATCCATCCCCTCTTTATCCCCCCTCCCCGATCCCCTTCCCAGCCTCTGGTAACCGTCATTCTACTCTCTGTCTCCATGAGATCCATTGTTTTTAATTTTAGCTCCCACATATGAGTGAGAACGTACAAGATTTCTCTTTCTGTGCTTGGCTCGAAATGTGCAGTGTTAGTGGTGACGAGAGGACGTTGTGTCGCAGACTGACAGTGAGGTGTGTTATAAATTTGGTGCCGCCGTCCTGCTCTGTTAATCGGAGCGGTGCTCTTTTGCTCTGGGCCGTTATTAGCACCTGTGCTTCCAGGCTGTGACACGCTGACGCTCTCAGGAGTCACAGAGCTTGGTAGTGAGATTGCGTCTTCCCTTCATCGTCCTACACCGCATGGCTTTATAGCTCTTCTTCCCGTTTTGATATAGTCCTTAGATCTCCTCTTTTGACTGTTCGGATCATTTTCTGTTCTCAAACTGACCTCTTAGAGGGTAAATTTTAGACGATGATAAATTTTGGTATTTAAGCTTTCATTCATGGGGATAAGTATCAAAGGATCATCATAGGTTTTCTTTAATAAATAAATCCCTTTTTATAGAGCCCGACAAGTCATTATTAAACCCAATTGTTATATAACAGGTGATACTTTTTATTGGTGACGAATTAGAATTCTTTAGATTTAAACAAAAAATGAAACGAGGTGTCTTATTTTAAAACCAGCTTTTAGTTAGCTATACTAATGATGGGCAGAGTGTGACGAAATGCCCCCTGATGTAGACGCTTCTGTGGGATGTCTCTGGTGTAGTTGCTGCCGTTGCTTTCTGTAATAAATTTCAATTTTTAATGAGTCTGTTAAATTACTGTGTTTTGCATATGCTCATAACTAGACCTAAATGGTTATTGTCAATTCAGAGATGCGTCTAGCGTGCCAGGGTGGCACTAGAGAGTGGACATGCTGTTTAGATGCAGACGCACAGGACAGACACGCTTGATGAAGCAGAGGAACTTAGGAGGTGTATCTCCACTTGGGGAAGGAGGAGGACAGAGGAAGCAGGAGGCTTCCGTCTGTGTCTTCCTTATGTGTTCAAGGAAAGGGAAGTTTGGACCAAGGATAGGATTAGAGTGGATCTGGAAAGAGCAAAATAGGTTTTCCAGCAGCCGAGCTAGGAGAAAACAGATCAGAGACGGGGAAAGCCTATACCCACAGGCTAGAGGAGGTGTGGGGCCCTGCCAGGGGCCTAACCCAGAGCCTAAATGTCTGGTGAACCACTGGAGGAAAACATAAATGATCACCAAAAAAACTTACCACCAGATCTAGAGAACACTGAGCTTTGAATTTAATTTACGTGCCTACGATTGCTCAAATGTGTCTCACGCATGCTTACATCTTTATTAAAACTTGTTTAAATGCAAACATATTGACTTAAAATCTTGTGTAATAACATAATGTACTCTCAGCACAAAGTACAAGTTCTGCCGTTTATGTGTTGATTCTCTGAGCTTCATTTTGGACCAGTTATTGAAATGTCATCGTCGTCATCATCAGAGCTGTAATGAAACAACCTAATTGCAGTCACCTCTTTTCTCTCTCCCATTGCATTTTTAGAAAATAGGTCAAAGTGAATAGGACATTTGTGTTCTTTTCCTGCTTCCAGTTTATTCACTTGAGTATCTGTTTCCTACGTTAACGAAATTTACTAAATAAAAGATACGGCATAGAAAAGCAAACAATGGCCGTGCCTTAAAATTTAAGGAAAACCCCCCCCCAAAACCCCGAAACGCCCAACCAACAAATCCAAAAAAAAAGTCCTGGGTTTTTTTGTTTGTTTGTTTTAATGACCTGTAAATATTCCTTTCTTCCTGTAGGTGGAATGGCTGAAAAATGAGGAGCCCATTGACTCCGAACAAGACGAGAACATTGACACCAGGGCTGACCACAACCTGATTATCAGGCAGGCGCGGCTGTCAGACTCGGGGAATTATACCTGCATGGCGGCCAACATAGTGGCTAAGAGGAGAAGCCTGTCCGCCACCGTGGTGGTCTATGGTAAGACCAGCCCCAAGGCCAGGAATGGATAGGGAGGGCTGAAAGCAGAGAGGTAGAGGGATGTGCACTTTATTAAAAGTTTTCAGCATTTAGGGTCAAGAGCACCTTGGGGGCTGTCCTCTGCAGTACTCTGTGCTGCCTCCCCCACTTGGTAGGCGAGAAAACATCCCTGTTGCTATTAATGTGTTTGCTTTCCCATCCAGTACTGCGAGATAGTGACATTTCAAATCTCTCTCTTAAAAATAATAAAAAGTTGTTTATTTTCTTCCTCCGTGCTTATATTTGAAAAGAGTTGAGATGGGCAACTCCTTCTTCCCACCCCTTCCAAAGCCCACACCCACCCTGATCTGTCCCAGACCTGCTGCCAGATAGTTTCCTTCCTAGTACATAAAATCCACCCAAAACAAACATTACTATTTGCTGAATGTCTCAGGCATTATATAAAAGAAGTTCCCAGCTATTTAAGTAAAGGCATTTCCTTCCACAATAGAAGAGCCCTGGGATTTATTTTTGAAGCACTTAAGGTAATAGAAATTCAAATGCTGATATTTTCTTCTTATACCATGGATTTTCAAGTGCTTTAGTGATCTGTTGATGAGTTCTTCCTGTTCTTCATAATTTCCCTGCGAAGCAAGTTCTCGGTGTCCCTCCTATTTCAGATGAGTAACTCAGGGCTAGAAGAGGGGAGGCCCATTGTGGCCTCGTCATGGACAGCCAGTGGGGGCTGTACCGCCTCTCAGGCCCCGGAGGCCCGACTCACAGCACCTGGCACAGTGGCTTGCACATAGTAGGCAATCAGTAAAAACCTGTCTCCTTTTTTTCTCCCCTCCCCATTTTTCTCTCTCAGTGAATGGAGGCTGGTCTTCCTGGACAGAGTGGTCAGCCTGCAATGTTCGCTGTGGTAGAGGATGGCAGAAACGTTCCCGGACCTGCACCAACCCAGCTCCTCTCAATGGTGGGGCGTTTTGTGAGGGGATGTCAGTGCAGAAAATAACCTGCACTTCTCTCTGTCCTGGTGAGATATATGCAGATTCCCTTTCTCCTTCTGATCCACCAACACTATTAAGCTGGTGTGAAGCAATCCGTATAACCTCCTCTTCCAAAGCCACCCTCTCCCAGATTCTTAGAATAGAGCCTTAATCCAAAGTGCTAACTTAGAACTCATTGTAATGGCAAGAACATGAATGAAATACCTCTGTGCAATGTTTCGGGACCTATTTTTTTTTAATAAGCAGATGACACTGAACGCTCACCATCAATAAGCCAAATGCTATAAAGTATTGTTACACTACCAGTGTTTGGTTGGGCTAAGCCATCGCCTTCTCTCCTTGGGTTCTCCCATCTTGTGGCATGTATTTATATGATAGTTATTGAGCATTAGATGTGTTGTCTTCAAACACAAAAGAGCAGGTACCAAAAATTTGGCTCTTTGTCAAGAGATACCTTATCAGTGTTCACCTTTTATTTATTCACAAGACAATCAGCAGAGAATGTGTGTTGTCACAACAGTCAATATTTCATGTTTGGTCTATCCTTGCCTTCCTCTCTGAGCAGACAGATACCTCATTTACCAAACATGGCCTTTGTAAGTTCTTTTGTTCATCTCTTACTGGCCGTGACCCAGCTTATCCAATGAGAAATAGATGAGATGGAAGATGACTTTCTTCATGGAAAGCACATCCTCCCACTGAGAAATAGGTCCTGGGTCTCACATGCACTACAGAACATTAACTCCAAGGACCCTGGACTGGAGCCTCGTGTCTTTAAAATTTCAAATTTAGTTCCAGTTAAAGTCAAGGTGAGGCTCTTCCCAGCAGCATATTCTTGGAGTTTCATTTTGGACTCATATTCAAATAAAACATTTATTGAGTGCTTACTATGTGCCAGGTACTGTGCAGGGTATTTTACACATGTGATGTTATTTCATTCTATGTTGTGAGTTTTATTACCCTCAGTTGACAGACATGGGGAAGTGAGGCTGAGTGACTCACCCAGGATTGCTCAGCCGATAGAGTTGAGAGACCCAAGACAAAGACTCAGACATTTCGCTTCCAGTTCAGTATTTTCTATGTTACCCTACTCTGGACTAATTGCTTTGGATTAAAAACTTCACTGTCTTAAATAACCCACATAAGCATGGCAGAACTATTCCTAGGAGGTTATGGGGCAATTGCCTCGAACATCTGCCATAATCTCTAGGGTTGCCTTTTAGTGGAATTAAATTCAGTTTGCTCATTTCTACATACAGCAATAATCCATGACCCAAGAAATTCTATTTATGTAAGTCCTGGTGCCTTGGGGTTTGACTGACCTGTTTTAGTTTAATGCTATCAATATATTTGGGTTTAACTTTTTATTGTTTAAGGGTTTTTAGGGCTTAAAGATAGTTCATTCTACCCTGTGTTCTAAACTATCAACCCACAAGGAAGTGGCTGACTTAGTTACTGCATGTGGTTTACCCATCCATCTAAGATGCACTTGGGCATGAAAGTCTGGAAAAGAATGTGATAAGGACATTAGTAGCCAACCCAAAGGTACCGGTAATTCAAATGCTTGCCTAAATTCAGTAATTGGTCTCATCCTGAAATAGCAAGAGAATGAAACCACTGCTTCTGTTAGCCTGTCTCTTTAGGAAAGAAACCATGGAGAGAAGATAAACTGATATTTTACTTTTGCTGTGGTGGTTATTTCTTTAAAATCCAGCTCTAAGAACAACAGCAGTCCGGGGGTGAGTCTCCTGACAGCCGCTCCATTCGTTCTAATGATGGTTTCTTCTGTTTCCCTTTGAAGTGGACGGGAGCTGGGAAGTGTGGAGTGAATGGTCAGTCTGCAGCCCGGAGTGTGAGCATCTGCGGATCCGCGAGTGCACGGCGCCGCCCCCCAGAAACGGGGGCAAATTCTGCGAAGGTCTCAGCCAGGAATCTGAAAATTGCACAGATGGTCTCTGCATCCTAGGTAACGCCTTCTGTTTAACATCTTCCGTGTTTGTTCATGATGGCCACATATTCATGGGTCTCAAGAAAGAATGCCCCGACCATTAATGCGGTTAAATAAGTTAGCAGCAAGACAGATTGCCAAGAGCAAAAAGACAATGGGAAGAAAGTGTAGAAAAGTAGACAAATACATTTTTCATAGAGATGGTGTGAATTTAAATAGTCTATCACTGTGAACTCTGTAAATGTGTTTACTTCCCAATCAAGTTAGATAATGTTTAAAAATAAATAATTGAAGGAGATATTTTAGAGTTTCCTTTTAGGATCTACCACTTTTAGGTTTGGTGAAGTTCCGATACCAATCACTGTGTGCTTACATTTCTCCCAAGAGTTTTGCAGCATAAGATACTTAATAAACCTTTAGAGGCCACAGTTCTGCGTCAAGGACCACGTGTTGTGGCTGTTACCTTACAAATGGTGAGGAGAGGAGGAATGAAGGCCTGTGGGTGGCTTGTATCACATTGGTCCGGCAGACTAGGAAATAGAGTACTCGTTTCAAAACTCTCGTGGCCTTGCTTTGTTTCTGAGATTATGCTGTTATCATCTCCATGTGACTGTCTGCCCGGGTTAGAAGGTGTGGGAGGGTCGAATAGAGTCAGAGAGAGACAGGCCCTAATTGGCTGCTGTCCCTTATTTGCATTGTGAGTCTCAGGCAAGAGTCACAATCTTCTTAACCTCTTAACTTCTCTGACTCTAGGTACCAAATATGATACCCACTTTAGGTTATTGTCAAGGCTGAATGGTAAAGAACATAGTTGAATGTTTCATGCCACAAAGTAGGTGCTCGGTAAAGGTCGGTTCCTTTTCCACTCACCCACTCAGATGAGCTAAGGTGTATTGATTTTGCTGCAGTCTTTAAAAAACATGAAACCGAAAATAGACTTATTCTTTAGAACTAGTTGCCTTCTTGGAAAATTCCTGGGGAAATATCCAGCAGAAAAATACCATAGCTCTCGGTCTCTGTTCTTGTGCCAGTATGGCGCACACCGTCTGGGAGATGGACATGCTTGAAGCTCTGACTCGGGTGGGGCAAAGGCAATATGTGTAATTTAAACATTTGTACCCCCATAATATGCTGCAATAATAAAAAAAAAATACCATAGCTCAATAGTTTGTGATGTATTCAGGGATATGTGTCACTTTTTATTTGGGAAGATGACAATATGGAGGACACATCTAAGTTGGATGTATTTTTCTGCATCGAAATGACTGGGTACCCTTGAAGGGCAAGCACATTAACTGTTGTATTTTCAAACTAAATCTCTATGGTTAATATGTTGGTTAAAAGGGTTATTCGATTGAAAAGAGTACTTGCTAATAGCCCATAGTGTTTTTATTTGCTAGTACGAGTGCTGAGTACCCTGCACACGTCAGATACGATGCCAGGGGCTGTGGTGGAAGACAGCGTAGCCACCTGTGTGAACTTGGCTTTGCTCTCCAGTAAACACAGACCAACTGTGTGCCTTCTTCTCCCCTTACGCCTTCCTAAATGTGAGGAAACTGAACACAAACTCAATAGCAAGACGTTTAAGAAAATGTGTTTCTAGCCATCCTTCAGTGCCACCAGATTTATCCGAAACATATCTTTGAGATGTGACTGTTTTTAATATGCTTTTGGTTCCACTGCAGGAAAATACAAACAGAATACTCATGAAACTACGCATGTCTGACTGAAACCACACACGGCCAGTGTCCATAGGCAGGGTTCGTTGAGTAAACCAATGAATTGCTTACAGCAGCTGCACAGACTGTGGCCTTGAGTGGCTTTGAGGAAAGAACTTGAATTTCACAAGTACATATGTATCTGTGGTGGTTAATTTTATGTGTCAACTTGGCTGAGCATGGGGTACCTAGATTTTTAAATTAATACAGTGTTTAAATTAATACAGACCAATTTTTAAATTAAAACAGTTGGGATTGTCAAAGTTGTATGTTTTCGAAAGAACCATGATGACGTCACTACTTAGTTACTGGTTGAATTTTAGATCACTGTAGTAATATCCTTCACTACCAACCACAGATTGGACTTGCACTTGGGAAAAATCTATGGATATCAGACTTCAATCTTAATGGACCAAGACTTAGTCTAAGAGTTACTGATTGAAGGCAGACAATGGTTGTTAGCTCTTAATGTAGGAAAGAATTATTATCAAATATGTGAATATTATTTATATGCACTTTGTAGATCTATCAGTTTATCAGTCGAGTAAGAGTTGTGTTTAGGGCTGGAAGAATTTATCAGCACTGAGCATGCAGTGGCAAGCCTAGCTCCCAAGTATAAAATCTGAGAGGCTGTATTAATTGGGATTCTCCAGGGAAACAGAAACAGTAGAACATGCACACACATACAGCAAGAGTGCAATGGAGAGATACTTGGAGATGTTTATTATAAAAATTGGCTCATGGGATTATGAAGCCTGACAAGTCCAAAATTTGCAGAGCCAATGTCCCAGTTCAGGTCCAAGGTTGTGAGGCTGCTGAAGAAGCAGGAAGACCTTATGGCCCAGTTTGAAGGCTGTTATGAAGGAGAATTCTTTGTTATGCAGGGAGGTCAGCCTTTTGTTTGATTTGGGCCTTCAACTGATTGAATGAGGCTCACCCACATGATGGCTAGATCAGCTTTATTCAGTCTGCCAATTTTTTTCTTTT